GTTATATATTTTGTTGAATTTTGACTAAATTACAAAAAATACATTCACTTTTTAAATAAATAGACATTCACTACATATACATATTGAATGTATTCAATATTGATTTGTTTGAAAATCAAAAATCGCTGAAAACTTATTTGTTTTCATGTGTTTGCATGTGAATCAACTTTTTAGTCAAATTTTTTAGCATATTTTTGGATTTTTATTTTCAACTTATTATTATTATTTCATTGATTTTATTGCATATAAATTGCAAATTGTTTGCGGGATTTTGCATTTTGCTGTAATAACAAATAATCTAAAGTTTATTGTTTTTATAAAAACAAAGATTTGAAGTATTTATACTATCAATAACTCAATTCGTTGTTCATTTAAAATTAAAATGTAAACTAATAATAGTTGAATATATCTAAAATTTTTATGTTCAAAAAAAACTTGAAAAGTTTTGTTTACTGAAATCTATAATGGCTTTTTGAGTCTGTCTGTCTGTCTGTCTGTCTGTAGCATTTCATTTTGCGAATTTTGAAATTCTGACTTCAGATTCGGTTAGAGGACTACTAATAATGTATTGAAAAGTTGCATTAAAATTTTGATATCTCTTCAGGAACATAGAGAAAATGGCGGCCAAATTAAAAAAAAATTTAAGAAAATTTTTTTAAAGTATAGATTTGAATAAAGCATCAAAAATAAGCAAAAGAAATATGCATTAAAATTTTGATTTCTCTTCAGGAATGTAGAGAAAATGGCCGCCAAAGTAAAAAATTTAGGTGAAAATTTTAACGTTTAGAATTGTATAGAGCTTTATAATAGATCAAAATTAATTTGTTTATTTTGTTATATAAATCATTTGATACCACACATGACTATAGTTGAGTATATTTTGTCATACTGTCATTTGATTCCACATATGACTATAGTTGAGTTTATTTTGTTATACCGAGTCATTTGATACCCTACATTACTATAATTGAATTTATTTTGTCATACTCAATCATTTGATACCCCAAATGACTAGAGTTGTTTATTTTGGCAAACTGAATCATTTGATATCTCACATGCCTATAGTTGTTTATTTTGGATACTGAATTATTTGATACTTCACATGGATATAGTTGAGTTTATTTTGTCACTAATGCATTTGATAACCCATATGACTAGAGTTAAGTATATTTTATCATACTGAGTCATTTGATACCCTACATAACTATAGTTAAGTATATTTTGTTAGACTGAGTCATTTGATACCCCACATGACAATAGTTGACTTTATTTTGTTATAGCGAGCCATTTTAACTAATGGTATTCAATGATATTCAAGTTTTTTTTCTGAAAATGCTTTCTAGCATTCTTAACTGGTTTTTATATGCAAAATATGCAAAAACCATTTAATTTTTCCTACAATTTATTGTCTAATATTTAAAAATTATATTTATATTTATTGTATATAATATAATCATTACTTGTATTTCATAAATATAATTATATATATATATATATATATATATTCAAATGTAACAAAAACAATAATAACATTCACATTGCATAAAATTTTATTAAACACTAACATTAATTTTGATTGTTTTATTATATGTCTAATTTCAGTCTCATTAAAATCAAATCTAATATATTATTAAATTCGATATAAAAACATAGATACTATTAAAATGTATTGAATTATTATACTTTATTATACATAATATAAAGATAACATGTATTTAACACTTTTATAGATGACTTTTTTGTGTTATAATCAGAGTTTGCATTTACAGGACAGACACTTATTATTTCAAACCCTGGTTATAATATAACATGTAATTAATAAAATGTATTGGAGGGGAAACTTAGACATTTGGCGAGCTTAGTAACACATACTACATAGTATACCATCATCTCATTACATAAACAATAACTTTTTTTGGTAATTAAATATAAATCTAAACATTACACACATTTATAGTATATGTGAAACCAAACATCACTCTAATTACAGCTTATATATCAAACACTGAATGAGACATTTTTACTTAATGTGGAAATTTTACTCTAAAAACACTATTTAATTAAAATCTTTTAAATTATTTCTTTAGATTAAAACCTAATTTTATTTTTTTTGGTCGTAAAGTTAAAGTTGTCAATAAAATTTACAGTCTTATAGAAACACCAAATAAGTAATATACAAAAATTTATATATACTGTAAGTGTGTTAAAACTGCTATAAAATTAATACCTTTATGTATCTTTAGACTCTATTGACATAAATATATTTTATATACTAATATAAAAATAATTTATTATCATTAATATAAACATTTTTATGAATGTTATTTATAAACAGTATTATATATTTATTTATATTTAAAAATCAATTTTTAGTAAATATAACAATATATTGGTATAAATAATATAAAATGTAATAACTAAGTGAAAAACAACTTAATGATTGATATATTTGATGTTTTTTGTCATCAAATGTCATTTATTATAATAACATTAAAAATTGCATTTAACATAAATACAATTCAACATGTATTTATAAATTATAATAAGGCGTTGTTCACATATTACGTTCGCACTTGAGGGGAGGGGGGGTTAGCCAAAGCGAACTTTTGCGAACGAGGGGGAGGGGAGGGGTAGAGACTTTAAGAACGTTTGCATTTAGATAATATCTTATTTCTTGTGATGGGGTTCTTGTAGCGGTTAGGGATAAGCGAACGTAATTTTTTTTAAATGACTACATGCGAACAATTGCGAACATAGGGGAGGGAGGGGATCTAGATTTCTTAAAAAGTGCGAACGTAATATGTGAACCACGCCTAAACGAAAAAAACTATTTAGACTATATTATTTAAACAAAAAAAATATATATTTATATTTAAAAACTACATAATTGTATATAAACAATGTAATCACTGTTATACATTATATATATATATATACTGTATATATATATTATAAAATCAATCAAAACTTGGTCACTAAAATGAGTGATTTATTCAAAAATTTATTTGAAATTTATTGTATGTATAATATTTGTAAATCTATAAGATTAAAAACAATTTATCAACTTATAATGTATAATATGCACTGTATATTAAGCATATTATATATTTGAATAAACTTCCCATAAATGTTAGTCTTTTATTGAACTGTTTGTTCAAAATATTGACAACAATAATCGATATTTAATACATTGACATAATATATACAATATGTACAATACGTATACTATACTTGATATACTTTATTAAAAAAGAGTGAAATAAATATATATTTATATATCTAAAGAATGTCAAGAAAATAGTGTATCAGAAAAAATGATAGAGAAGTGACTCATGAAATAAATATATTAAAGAAATAGAGAAGCAATTCATAAATTTTGAAACTTCATCTCAAAAACATTATGTCATATAAGAGGTTGAAAATACTTTATATAAGCAGAGAGTATAGCACTGAAAGTCTGTCAAAATTTTATTGTATGTCTGACTCAGACAACAATTTCTTTTATATATTATATTAAGTACTTTATATATATATGGATATATGGATATATGGATACATACAGTATATAATATATATTGTATACGAAAAGACTGTTTATAATAAAAAGTATAGAGTACTGTAGATATAATACTACATTAATATCAACTCACATATTAATATAATTATATAAAATACAGTACAGTATATTACAACAAAATAACAATACAAAATAAATTTATATAAATGGTTTACCCGGTTATAGCCTTAATATTTTTAACGTTCTTAATATTACTCCATATCTGATTTTGTGGTAAAAATAAAATTATTTATATATATATATATATTTATTTATATCACTATATTTCGGAAAACCTAATAAATGTGATACTTTATAATATATTTTTTTAATTAATTATACGTCTTTCACAAAATCAATAAAACATTAACGACTTAACAGCAAAATTCTTATACAAAATACCGTAAATGTTACGAAATGATGTGTTTTGATAATCATTAATATTTTTAATGAATTTAAGCAATTTTGTTAATATTACGAGTCAGGCATCGTTCAAAAAGATGTCTAAAAATATCATTTTTAACACTAAACAAAATTATCCAATTTATTTGATCCATCATTTCCTAGATTTATGAAAGTGTTTGTCAACAAAATCCTAAAAACCATATTATATTATAATGAGTTAATGTCTAAACAATATTTATAAATTTTAATAAATTAATAAAATGTAAAAATCATTAAATATTACTATAGATAAAATTTAAGTTAACAAACTATAATATATTATAACATTTATTTTATTGAAAAATAAAAAGTGGTCACAAAATAATTTCTCTGCCAAAACACATATATTAGAGAAATATATTATATATTCAGTAAAATAGTATAGAATTTAAATTCTAAATTTTAGAGCATATCTTTCTATCACGACTTTTGTGTCAATCATTAACTACTAGAACTCAATATATAAATATAAGTATTTTATGAGTATATACTGTATATATGCAATATATATATATATATATATATATATAAAGAACATATATTAGACTTAGATAAATATTAAAAAATGTTTTGTACTTAAGATTGAAAAATTTTGATTTATTTTTACTTCCAATGAAAGTTAACTACAACTGGAAAAAAATATATGAATTTATCTTTAAGTTTTTTTTAAATAATTATTTATTATGGATTTTTGAACAAAAATGTACTAAATTTTTAAAATTATTTATTATATACAACAAATTCCATGCATTACTTCTTAATAATAATAATATAATAATGATATTTAATGATAATGATAATTATAATGATAAAGTTAATTTTAATATTTATGTATTATATTATAAATTCTAAAAAATCACATAATTGACAAACAAATGTCTAAGTGTAGCTTAATTTGTTTAATAATAGTTTATTGATTTAAAAATAAATTGGTTGACAATATAAATGATTTCATTATTATTTATTTGGTTAAAAATATCTTCTTTTTTTATCTCTTTAGAGGAGTAGTTGTGGTCAGTATAGACCTACTAAAGACAGACATTAATCAATGTGCTGGCGATGACTCGTTTTTCTCCGATACGCATAAGTGTCACATCCATACAACACAGGTATTCATATCTATGAATCAAAACAATACCAACGAACTGATAATCAATATAAGCAAATAATATATGATATAATCGTTAACTTTATTTGTATCGGCTTTTTGGTATTTCGGACGTTCATTAGTGTCACCCAATAAAAGGCATTGGTTTTCATAGGGGTGCCTATATATGTCAGTGCAAGGATGGCTACTATATGCCCAATAGAAATATTAGTAATTTGGATAACTCACCTGGCACAAATTATTTTAGAGGTAAATCATATTAGAGTGATATTAAATTGATCATTAATTTTAATTACAATTTATTATATAAAAAATAACAAAACGTTTTAACAATTTGCTTTTTTTTTGATGTCATTACAGGCATAACATTAGAGGAGGCGTTTGTCAACACATTGACGGGTTCTCAGGACACCAATGGTCTCGATCCGCATAATTTTATATGTATTCCCTGTGAATCTGGATGTGAGGACTGTATTAACGACAGTCCCTGTTTCGTTCACTTCAATCTATTCATACGAACCATAACTCTGGGAATACAGAGTTTTTGTGCGACCATTACATTCATGATTGGTATCGCTATTTGCAAACTAAGGCGTTATAAGGTATGCCTTAATAACTATTATATAACAAACTCTACACACAAATGCATTTTATTACTTTATTTTTCTAAACGATTTATTACATTTTGAGGGCAATAAAGGTTTAAATTTCAGTTAAGATTTATAAGAATTATTATTATTTAAAATCTTTTTTGGATTTATGTTTGAAAATTACATTTTATTATCATAAAAATAGCGAAACATTGATTACATTATTATAAATCAATGATAAATATTTTGCAATAAAATGCTTAATACTTGTTTTATATTTTCATTATTTAAGTATATTATCTATTAAAAGAAAATTATTTTAGTAATTCATTACATGTCTATTTCAATCATTTTGTTGTTATTTTCATTTATAGTTATTATTTTATAAAATTATTTACAATAAGTATATAACATAAGTATAGTATTTGTCTTTAGTTTTGTTTCAATAGTATCTTCTTTTTAATGAACAAAAACATTGATTGAAATGACATAAATATTTTAACGACAAATCAATGACATAACATAAATAGTAGTCCAATCTATAAGTATTGGTATTAGACTCGTTAGTGACCGCTATTATATACAAGTATAGAAAGAAATGGACAAAAAAAGAAAGTTTATAAAATAGGAAATTTCCAGAAAGTTTAAAAAAATTGTCCAAAATAGTTATGATCAATGACAATTTTGTTTTTATACTTGTTTTGCAATAATACATTAATAATAAAAGCAATTTATTTAATAATGATATTTATAATAATTAAATAATACTGTATTATTAGGCATAGAATTAGTATTAAATGCTAACAAAATCACTAAATTTTGTCACATTATTTTGAAAGTTTGTTTTGAATTTCTATTTTTGTGTTCTAATTCATTACCTAAAAGATATATTGAATTTTAAGACAAACATTTTATTAATACTATATAATTACTGCTCTAATATGTTTTGAAAACCCATTAGTATTTTAGTGTATATCTTAGCAAACTGTAGTATAGTGTTGTGTAAATAATATCATATGTTGAAAAAATACAGCATCATAATTTATAAATACATTATATGGGAAACCATATTATAATAATTAATGTATAATCAAAACTTTCAAGAAATTTTCATAGGAAAATAGGAAAATTTTATTAAAAATTTGTTTATCACACAAGATTTTATTTTATAACTATTGTAATATATATATATACGAAGTCATCTTCTAATCAATGTTTATCTAAACGAATAAATTTAATAAACTAAGTATTAGTTCGTGGATTTGATTTAACGTTATATCGAAATCAGATTATATGTGAATTTGCAGAAATGGCACAAAAAAGTTGCTTTTGTTTGCCATAAATAGCTCATTATTACCAGAATAACTATTCTACAAATATAACATTATTATCATTAGTTTTATTTATATATTAATAAACTGCTTAAATATATACACAAGAATCTATTTTCAACATTTGTTAACATCAGTTTTGTAAATTAATATAAAAATATAATATATTTTTTAAATGTAATAAAACATAAAAATCTTAAAAAGTATATATTATCGGAAGTAACAATATACTACATTTCACATCAAATCAAAACAAACTTTAAATTATCTTTTTTATCTTTTTAGTATATAATTAAAATTAATTGTTTATATTATAATATATGAATTTCTTAAATATTATAATTTATATTTTTTAAATCTGATAACTTTTAATAACTTTTAATTAAGATTTAATAACAAAAGTTATATTTAATTTGAAAATAAATTATTGTGATTAACATTTTGAGCATCAGTAATAATTAAATATCTAAAATAATATGTTCAAATTATGTAATAATTAATAATAATAATGTTTTTAAACATACTTTAATATTACGCAAACTTTTGATAAATACTGTATATTAATTTTATTATATAATTTTTTTGATAAAACAATTAACTGAGTAAATAAATAGTAAAATAAATAAATATAAAATAAAATTTATATTATTTGTTAAAAATAATTATAATTCATGTTTATGTATGCATTCAATTCACTATCATGAAATATTTTTTACATAAAATTAATTTAATATTATTTATTAGTTTATAATGTTTAAAACCATTTTACGTATTTATTCATGTAATAAAATACTTAATTAATTTTTGAATGTTTTTTAATTAAATTGTTTTATATTTGCTTAATATAGTCTATTTTAGTATTTAAAATTAATTTTTATAATAACTACTAGTTTAAGCCGTGTACTTAACCTTACATATTTTAACAAATTTTTATAATAACTATTAATTATTGTTTAACTTAAATAAATAATATATAAATTGAAAATAATTTAACTTCTATCAAAATATCTATTTTTAAAAAGAGACTATTTATTATTTAAAATTATAATTTAGACGATAATTTGAATCAATATTATCGATCGTTTAAGAAAGAAAGAAAGAGAGTTTATTATTTTTCAAATGTATTTAAATATTACTATAAATTAAATATTAAAGCATTTTTACAATAAAATGAACATAATTTAAAAGAGAGTTTTTAAAAAATTATTTTATAAATTATATTTACATTAAATAGAAAATGTTAATATTTTTCTACGAAAACATTCAATTATTCTATAATTTCAAACTATTATATATTTCTCACAATTTATTTATTTTTTGTCATTTAATCGAAATAAAAGTCTGTATTTGAATATATATTTTTCATTCAATAATAATTAACTAAATTCAAAGCGGGAAACATAAAGAAAATTGTATTTCCGAATCAATCAAAATAAAAAACACATACTCCCTGTGCTGTTACCATATAATGGATACTTTCACTGAAAATAACCCAATGTTTGGATTAAAGGAAAAATCTAGTTTTTCACAAATAAATTGTTAGCTAAATTAAAATTTGCTGTCTTTTGTAAAACAAAATTAGATTAATATATATATATCAGGGTTAAGCAAGGAGATAAGGCCAAAATACCCCTAAGATAGAGATTTTTTATGTTACCTCCTTATGTTACATCCTTTTTGACCAATTTGAAAACTTGTCGATAAAAACGAGGAGAAATGACCCTCCTAAAATATCTTTTTCAAGTTTATAAAAATTATAATTTTAATTGATACTTTATTAACTCATATTAAGTTTTTATAACATATGAATGTAATTATTGGTTAAGTAAAATAGTTAAAATTGCATTAAAATGAATCTAAATATAACATACTTTTAATTAAAATATTCAACAAAAAAATAAATTATTTGTTGAAGACAGTAATCATATTACAATTTATATAGAATTTTCAGATAAATAAAGCTAGTAAAACAACATATACTGTATATGAAAGTTTTTATTAATAATTTTTAAAATTTTAGTTAAAAATTAGAAAATATTTTCAATTTTATAATTACTTAAATTGAAACTTTACCTAAAGTTAAGTTACATAATTTGTATTCAGTCAATATTTATATAAAATTAACATTTTTAAAATAAAAATATGCACTTATAAACTTGAACATTAACTATTATAAAAAAAATTAATTATGTTATAAGTAGAATACTATTTAAAAATGTTAAAAATAACTCAGTGTATATATTAATGTTTTTATTAATCATTTTTAAATTTTAAATACAGAATTGGGTTATTTTTCACCTATTTTTCTGGGAATTTACATGAGAATTTTTGGGAATTTATATGTGAATATTCTGGAATTTTCTCTTGATATTGAATTTTTTTTTTAAAAATTGTCGTTTAAAAGTAAAATTCTATACCCATACTATACCCCGAGATTTTTCGAGATTTTTGTCATTTGACCCTTAGATCACATAAAATCCAATACCTTGCTTAACCCTGATATATAGATCTAAATTATATACAGTATATATATATATATATTTACATAATACAATTATTTATGAATCACTCAAAACCAGTGTTAATAATCTGCACACGTTTTCAGTCCACAAACTTAATTCATACACTATTACTACTACTATACTATATTATAGTCTATAGTCTATAGTTCATCAAATACTGTATACATTATCAAACACTGTATTATACAGTACTGAATATAGTTTATGAATAAGTTTTATGTAATAGTTTTATATCAAACAAATTTACGATACAACAACAACAACTACTACTACTACTGATACTTAAATTTAATTTTTTTTTTCAGTTTCAACGTTATACGATATTTGATAAATCTTTATTTTTATTCTTATACTTATATTATTATTTGTTATATATTCAAATTTATCTATTTTTATATTACAGTAAAACTATTTTGATTTTATGTATAAAATGTTTTACATAGCATTAATGCCTAACAACTTAAATAGGAATTCAAAAGTTAAAACCCTTTTATCATATTAGACCCATAAAAATCAATAAGACATCAATATATTGTATGATTCAAGTATTGTCATAGTATAGCATTATTTAACAAATAGTAGATTATGAACGTATAGACAGTAAAAACTATTCAAAATGTTGATTATTGGTGTCCATTGATCTGTACTGAACTTTATTTTTTTTTTAAATCTTTTATTTAGTTAAGTTAAAGTCAATATAAAATTTTTTATTTTAAAACTATACATAAAAAAATTTTGTTATAAAAATTATTCATTTTATTTGTATTATTTGTAAAAAAGATTAATTTTATTTATTTATTTTAATATTTACAAGTACTGTACAATATATACTACCGTATAATACTATATATTACTCTAATATTTAACACTTTAATCTAATTTCAAAAGACTATATGTTTTATCTCTAATTTCAAACATTAATTTTATTAAATATACAATTATTTGTTTTGACAGTTAAATTTGACTTAGATTTAAATTCTTTGAAATATAATATATTGCATTATTTTATACAATAAAATATAATATATATATGTAATATAATTTTATATATTCAAAAAAATGCAAAATTATCATTTATATAAATTTTAATTTAATTTAAATTAAAATCTTGTTAACTAAAAAATAACTGCTTTTATTTAATATTATTTTTTAGTTTTATAAGTATTTTTTAAATTTTAATGTATTATTTTGTTTGAATAAATGTTTATTTTCAGACAATAGCTACTTCTCGTTGGGTTGTCTTAGAAATGATACTTTTCGGCGCTTTTATGTTATATATAACGGTATGTCAAATGGGAATTCATTTGCGGCTATTTATCACTCGCTAATTGTTTTGACACTGTTTGACAATCAGGTGATAATACGTTACTATGAATCGACTCCATTGACTTGTTTTCTGGAGCCCTGGTTTAGAGAAGTGGGATTTGCTTTTTGTTACGGCGCTATAGTCATCAAAGTTTACCGAATTTATGCCGAATTTCAGACCCGAAAAGCTCACAGAGTGTGTGTCCGCGACAAAGACTTATTAAAATATTTAGGAGGAATTGTTTTGGTTGTCACCGGCTATATGTCCGCCTGGACTGCACTCGTATTGGACGGCATTGACGACATCAGTCAAATCAATTGGTTTGACGGAGCAATCAATTTGAATGTAAAGGGAAGGAATATATTAGAAGAAAAGACAACCAGCGATGGTCTCCGATATATCGTTTGTCGACAACTTTCATGGGATTACGTCACAGAAATGGGTAAACAATCAGTTGAAGTGTTTTTAAATTTAATTGTTATTTGATATCTATTGATATTTTAAAAATTAAAATTTTGAATTTGATTGTTTGTTTGTTAGGGGAACTCATATTTTTATTGACCGGAGTTTACATCACTTATTGTATACGAAACGCTAGAAAAGAGATCTATAAAGAGAAGTGGACTCTCGCTCTGTCTATTTATTTGGAAACTATAGTATCGTTCACTACATATACAGTAAAACATTTGCTATGGTTTTATCGGGATCTCCATCCCGACCACATATTCTTGCTTTATATGATACGCTGTCAACTGACAGTAACTCCAATGTTAATAATGATATTTTTACCAAAAGTAAGTCAACCGATCAATCAATTTATTAAAATATATATAAAAATCTTTTTTTATATTGATATTGATGTCAATCATTATTATTATTATTATTATTGTGTTTATAGTTTTGGTTTCACAGCCGCACGCGTAGAGCAGACCGTCACCGATCGCGCCATTTATCAGCAGCTGAAGCACACGATCCGGTACCCGAAGCCATGAAATTACATTCAGCCATACTATCTAATGGTGAGATAGATATTGGAGACATTAATCTGGCAGACATGGATCCCGAGGATATCAGAGTAAGTAAATCAATGAATTTATTATATACAGTATATATATATATATATAGTATTAGCGGTTTTGTCAGCTTTAATAAGAAATTTTATCTTCCGATCTATAAATATGACAAAATGTAAACACAGATATTTATTTAATTAATTAAATCATTCAACGTTATATATAATACTTAAATCGTTTTTTTTATTTTTTTTTATTTTATCAAACTTAGTCTGAATTGCGTCGAGTGTATACTCAGCTCCAGGTGCTCAGGAATAAGACGATGCGTAAAGACAACCCCCACATCAGTAAGCGAAGGGGCGGCAGAAAAACTCACCGACGCTTTTCATTACAGCCTTTTCATCACAAACACAAACAACACGAACAGGAAATGACTGAAATCTCAAGAACTCCAGAAGAGTCAACCGCTAGTCTGGAGGGCACCGGTAGCTGTCAACCGGACGGTCCATCCACTGTCCGTATTGACCCCGAGAGCTCTAATATTACCAAATTATCTCATATTAATAGAAATCATTAAAAACTAATTTATTAAATTAGTGATTAAACACACAATTTACTAACATTTAAATAATTTTTAAGACTACTCATATATTGTTAAATAATATATTGTTTATTATGTACAGTATTATTATATATTCTATTATTTATTATATTTACTGAAATTATATTATTAATTTATTTATTTATTTATTTACATTTTTGTTACTGAAACAAAAAAAAACGTAATAATAATAATAATAATATTAGTAACAATATTTAATTATTTAGTAAGTATTAAAAGTAATGAGATAAATAATTAAAAATAAAATTATATTAATTTTTATCATAAAATATGAATAGTTATCGACTAAAATAAATACAGTAATTTGAAATTTGACACACAATAAATATATTAATATATTATTTAATAAGAAAAAATATTGTTATAAACGAATTTTAAAATTGTAAATTTGTTAATTTGATAATATATTAATATAAAAATATTTTTGCCTTAAACTTAAAATTAGAGTTAAAAAAATACACACATTTTATTGCATTTTTTCAACAACAAAAAACATGTGATGTTATAAAAGGACCAAATAATTTATACACAATTAAATATAGTAGTATAACCATTGATGAAATTAATAGCAATCAATTTCTAACTATAAAATATAAATCAATGTTTTAAATGATTGCAATGACAATAAAGATAAAATCATTAATAATTAATTTATTTCATCTTTTGTTGTTATTTTTTATTTTATAATAATATAACATTTTCTATAAATATATTATAGAATATATATATATATAATTAGTAATAAAATGAATGACTTATAACTTATTATTGTTATAAGATATGAACATTAAATGGACTTATTATTGATTAGTGAAAGCAGTTAATGCCTTTTAATCTATGGTTAAAATATATATATTTACATCTCAATCGACAGGTTATGTATATAAATTCATATTCATTACAAAAGTAAATTACTTTAGACTTAGTAGTCAAGTAATGTGAGTTAAATAAATATATTTTTAATAATTATCGTATCTTTATATATACACTGTTTATACTGTATATAAGATTAGTAATGTTTGTAATAATAATATTAGTGGTTATAATTATGTGAGTCAACGATATAAAAGCACGGAAAGACATACGATCGGCACTATTACACCATTACTATTACAGAAACTATTATTGATGTCAAATGGGAATAACCTGAGGGCATAGCTTTGCATTTATCAAAAACACGTTTTATAAGAGTTTGAGTACAAAAATCTAATAATAAAATCTAGATATGAGTGAAATCTTAGTCAAGATATCTCAATACTAACTTTTGCTATATTAACACAAATATTGATTTTAAGTCTCTTTTAATGAGCACTGAAGTTGAGAAAATATTTTTTTAAAGCTATAATAAGTTAATGAAGTCTAATAAATGTAAAAAATTATAATACTGTAAGCATTAGACAGTTTCGAAATCCTCTTAATAACATTTGTTATATATTTGATAAAATCTTGCAAATTATTATACAGTAGGTGTCGGGAATATGTTTTTATTTTTTGTCATTTAATAATTTAAAATGTTTAAAATATAATGTAATGATTACTTTTTAAAAATGAGCTATTTTTGGTAACCATTGATAAAATTTGTTTTTGTGTATTTGTGTCAATGGCAAAATGTCTCGGTTTATTTATACAGGTATTAAAAGATATTAGATATAAAAATTTCAATACACAATAGTTAATTGCATTAAAATAAAAAATAAGTAAAAAATAAATTATATTGTTTTGGTAAATAAATTAAGTTAGTGTTAGGAAATAAGTTTAATTATATTATACAGGTATTACTATAACAAACTCTATAGTATTTGCACATAAATGTATTTATATTGTACTGTAATTTATATAAATAAATATTAAATTTGTTAAATACAATTAGATAAAATTTAACAATTTTAATTTATTCTATTTTTTCAATTAATACAAATTTTTATTTTTATATTTTTAATTTTACATGTGTACATTTTAACGTTATTTACAATAATATTGATATTAGAAAATGTGTGACAAATATCTGCTAGGTCAAATCTATTTTTGATTGATAATAAAAAAAATTAAATATAAATTGTTTACTCAGTCATAATATAAAATTTTAAATACATAAAGTAGTTTTTTAATTTATAAAATTTTGCCTTATATTAATGTAAAATTTCTAAATTTTTTTGAAAGTTTATAAAATTTATTGAAATATATAAATAAATCAGTTATTAGTAAATAATAGTAATAAATAAGTAAAAATTATCAATCTATATTATTTAAATAACTTTAATTAATATTACATAAAAATAATTTTTAATAAATATCTAGTAAACTGTTAGATTATAGTATAACCGTTATACTGTATAAAGCAATTACCGTATGTAAGCGTAAAGAGTCCCCTTACAAATTTTAAGTATGGGGCTGTAAATCACTTATTGCCCCATAGTTTCATATATAGCCCATGAATTATGGGCCATTAATAATAGCCCATTATGGTCAGGGGGCTATTAATACGGTAAGTGTTATTAAGTTTTGTTAAAAATATAAGTTAAATAAAAATAATATTAATAACTAATTTTTCTATATAACAAAAATTATAAAATGTTTAATTTGATTTTTTTTAATTTTTACATTTATGATAGTTTTATAAACATGTTAATTATTTTTATTTTTGTATCTAAGTTCTATTGCTAAAAATATTCTCACAATTTATTAAAATTATAATTAGAAGCGATTTTGAAAATAATATCTGATAATTAAATTTAAAATCAGATTCAAATTTTAATTTTATTTGTTTAATTTAATTAATAAATTATAAATAATTTTGTTACAATATTAATTTTGTGTAAAATAAATTACACTAAAAAATAAAAACAAATTTCAAATAATAAGTTAATTTTATAATTAAAAACAAATACAATAATCTATTTTTAATCTATAGATCAATATAAACATAATTAAAAGTGCAATTAGAAATAAATGCCAAATTTTTAAACAAAATACAAACCATAAAACATTCAATCGTTTTAAATATATAGTAATCGTTTGGTAAACCATTAATTTTTCATTTATCAAAAAACATCACTATTATTGTTATTAATTACAACTAATAATAAAATAAAATTTAAATTATTAACCAATACATCATTTCATTGTCATTTAATAACAATTCTCATAAATGCATTCAATCATTACTTTAAATATACCTTAGATTCAATTTAATTGAACATTTTTTATCGTTTGATATATAAAATGATAAAAATAATGTATATTTACAATATATAACTTATATATATATATTATAGAAATTTTATAAGTATAACAATTATTATGATTTAATGTGTTTAACACAGAATTATCAAATAAAAAACTAATGACAAGAATGGATCACCAGATGATCACTGAAGATAAATAGATGATCGCATCATATAATAAGTATTAAATCATTTAACAAATAAAAAATAACCACTAATTTGTGATCACCAAATAAATTTGTAAATACATTTAAACTCATTCATGAGTGTAGGCATCATACAAACGGCACCATTAGTTATACGAACTCTTAATTTCAAATTAATACCATTTGGTGACTGAATTGTCTGTTGATGTCCATTGTTCTGTATTGTCACCTCAACAGTTCTACTCTCAAACCGTAATGTCACCACTAATTTGGCGTCGGGTGTGTCAGTACTGGTCAGACAATATACGGCGTCAAAGTCTAACTCTTTAGAGTCATCGGTGGTCACCGGTATTGCACAAGCATTTGGTGCCACAAAATTAAGTTCATTTTCAGTACAGTTTGTCATATTATTGACAGTTATTTGTTGTTGTATTGAAGCGCTTGAATCAGATGACCGAACCTGAAGATAGTGTCCTTCAAGTGATGTCTTACTTGTGGCACAATTCTGATTATTGCAAAAAAAGTTAATTATTACAGAAATATAATAATTATTATTAATTAGTGAAATTAATACCAAATTGAAAAAATATGGATTAAACAACTGTTGTTGTGTCTTAAGTCTCCCGATGACAATCATTTGATTATCGGGTGTCAACTGATAGACAATCGATTGAGACTGTGATGAGCTGAGGCCAGCCGTTAGAGACAATGTGTCAGTTCCTCTGACATGACTGATCCAATTGGTCCGCGAAAACGGTATCGACTCGTGACCAATGCTATAATGATTTGCACTGTTTTGTTGGACATTATTGACAACAATCTCGTGTGAGTCTAATTCACACGAGACAAGAGTGGCGCCGATTGTGAGGACACCGATCCTCAACCGATTGTTTCGGTTATTGAATGTAAAGCGACGGATCATTTGTCGACAGTTGAGGAGATCCTCTTCAATGGATATCACTTCGTTGTTGTGGATCATTGTTTTTCAACCATTACATCAAATATCGTTAACCATTCATCCGATGCCAACAAATGCCGGTATTTTCTCAGATATTTTTCTCACAGTTTTTCGGCAATCAATTGCCAACACCTGTCCTGTCGTCAAAAAGTCTTGTCTGTCAACGCTATTCACGTATGAGTCCAGTAGTAGTAGTCATATGTCTCATGAGTTGTCACCCGATGTGACCATTAAGTGACCATTAAGTGACCACTCATTGGTTTTATTGTTTACTTAACTAAACAGTCAAACAAATAGTTGACTCAAAAAATCAAAACAAAACAAAACATTAATTTAATGCCATTTTTGTCAAATACTTAGACATAAATAACGTCAATATTTATTTAAATATCAAAAGTTTTTAATAACAATAATATTATAAATATTAATATTAATAATTAGTTTACAGTATAAATACTTATGTTTTTTATATTAATGAATTTGAAAATTTAAAAAATGAGCTAAAAATTTATACTGTATTACTAAAAATTAAGTTAATTGATTGTCTAATGTAATTGTGTTAATGTAATAACAACTTCAATAATAATTTAATATTTTACTATTTGTTGCAAATAAAAAATCTATTTAATTTAATTATATTTTTGTATAATATACGATAAAATTAAAATATCAATAAAGTTAACACATAAATATTTATGATGTGAAGTTTTATAAAATTATTTTATAAGATTACAAAATAATATTTTGTTTTTATTTTAGATTTAATTAATTTTTCAGATTTATTTGTACATCTTACTAAAATTTCATTTATTTTATTATTATTTATTTTTAAGTTAATTAAAAACAAATATTCTATATCTTTATTATATATTAATATAAATTACATAATTAATTAAATATGTACTGTAATAATAATAATAATAATAATAAATTTTAATGAACCGAAATATTAAACCTGTATCGTTATACCTAAATCCCTAAATTTAGAAAAACCCGTATCTAATAAAAAAAAAAAGATTTAAAAACAATCAAAACTACATATAGAATACAAATTTTATTATACAATAAACGAATTTTTTTGACAATTTTTTTAATATCTATTCATTTTATTGCAAATTATAAATAAATATTTATGTAATTTAATTTTTAATAATTTTTTAATTTTTGAGGTTAATATAAGAAAAATAAATTTATTTATGAGAAACGTTATGTTAATATTTTATTTAAATACTGTAATTAGTGATGTACCGATTGCAAAATGCGCAATTGCAAAAAGCTCGATTGCGAAAATGGCAATTGTAACATAGAACAATTAACAGTTTTTAAAAAATTAACAAAATTTAAATGGTAAAGCAATATGAATAAAAACATAAATTAATTATATAAATTTTAATTATTTTATCATAAAATATTGCCATCTAAAAACCATGTAAAAATAATAATAAATTAGTAAATTATGTTAATATATATTGAGGGACAATAGGGACCGATCTACGACCGATCATATAGTGTGGTCACCATTATGACCGATCGAGTCGATAAATCCCTCATAATTAGTTAATTATTATTATAATTATTATAATAATATTTCGTATATAAAAATTTTATAATTAAGTATATTTTTATTGAATTTCCATACAAACAAAATTATAAAATAAATTATTTGAAAACTTATTGTCTATATATAAATATATTATTTTTAGATTTCTATATATTTTACGCTACTTTGATATAAATTAAAAATAAAAGAGTAAATTACTAAATATTTTAATTCTAAAATTTGATTATAATATTGGATTTAGTTTCTATATTAACTAAAATATAGATTATTTAAATTTAATAAAAATTATCATGCTTAATGTAAAAATATTTTATGAAAAATAATTACTAATTTAATAAATAACATCATATATTGTTTATAATTTTATAAATGTTATGTTTCGGTTTGTTGTCAATAATTCATGTAAACTAATGTTAATAAATACTATACTCTTATATTTGTTTGTTTGTTTAAATGTTTATTATATTTATCTCACAATTTATTACTATCTTTTATTTAATTATATATAAACCAATTATAATTTTTATAATGAAAGTGTTATATTGTTTTTTAGAATTAAATTATGAAATTTAATATTTATGTTGTTGATATATTATTTGAAATAATAAAATATCATAAAATTATAAACATTAAAATTCTATAAATTGCTAAATTAAATAATAAAATTTTAAAACTAGATAATCACTAGATTTTAAATAAAAATTTTATTTTATAGACATTAAAATGAAAATAAAATTAATATCAAAATTCTATAATGACTTAATAATATTTTTTTTATATAAACACAACTCTAGTGACTTAAATATAATAAAATATTTTTGTATATGTTTTTATTACAACTTTTTGTTAGAATTTGTGTTAACAATAGATTTTATTTAAATTTTTGAATTAACTCATATATTAAAAGACATTGTTTGCAAAAAAATCATTTTTATTTTGCTTTTGAAAAATCATTTTAAGATTTGATCTAAGATTTTATAGTTGTTTTTCACTGAAAATAAGAAATTCAATTGTAATCTCTTTAAGCAACAAAAACGAAAAAAAAGTTGCAATCCATACAAAAAAAAGTTTGCATTTAAAATATATTATTCAATTGATAACTCTATTTGAAATTTATAATACAAAAATTAATGAAGTTTTCAATAATTTATTATATATGTAGAGATAGGCAATTAGAAAGTTTCTAGAAAATTTCTCATGAATAATTTCTATAGAAATTTAAGTTTATTGTTATACTATGCGATCCCCATATCTATAGTTATTGGAAATACTATAAATATAATGAGACATAATATTATACAAATGGGATACCAATATAAATAAGTATAATTATCTAATAATAATCAGTTTTGTAAAATTTTATTCATCATTTTATTATATTATAGTTAAATATAATTAAATAAATTAATTTTTACTTTAATTGATAATTAAAATACTAATAATAATATTTAATTATTACTTGTAATAACAATGTTACAAGATAAAAAATATTGAAATAACAAAATTAACATGGGGATCACATAGATAGAAATTTCTTTTAGAAACTTTCTAGAAATTTCTCTTTTTTGCCAACACTATATATATATTTATATATGTCATATATATATTTTTTTGTCAATTTCAATATATAATGTTTTTTATTGTTAAACAAATATGAGTTATAATATTTTTAAAATCAAAAGTCAATATAATTTATAGAAAAAATATATAAAATTTAAAATTTATAAAATAAAATTAGAGATAATTATATCATTATTTACAACATTAGAAATATTATTACATAAGTGTTAAACAAAAATATAATAATAATACTTAAAGAGTTACATTTGATATATAATAATAATTGAAACAAACAATCGATTAACAATGAGACAGATATTTAACAACGTTTGACAAATGTGTTACAATACAAGTATTGGTCAATACATGTGATTTGATGCAATCAATTACAGCAAATCAGCAAAAACTAATTAAATAAAAATAATTGCATTTTTCGCCATATATTACATTACTAAACAATCGCTTGTTTTTATTTTTGTTATTTGTTTTAATAATAATATATGATTATTGTTTGTTAATAATCTTTTTTATTTGTTATTATTATTGTTTAAACGATTATTTTATAAATTATACGCTTTAAATATATAATATATAAATAATTAGATTAATAAATTTTTATAAATGTATACATCATTTATATTTTATACTGTATATAAAAATTCTGTATTTCAATGATAACATAATCCTATTTATTATACACTTTATTATCATTTAGAAAAATATGTGAAATGTTTTAACCAGTGTTGCTATTGGAGAGGATAGGGGTAAGCCATCTTACCCCCTAAGATCGATATTTTTGGGGTTTACACCGCCCCCACTGGCCTAAAGCCAAAAAGTTAGGGGGCATCCTATGAATTTTAATATATATAAAATTAATATTAAACAACAAAAAATAAATGCTAACTTGTAACTACAAGTTGTAAGTGAATTTTAATATAAATAAATAACATGTATACAAAATAAATAAATAAAAACTAGTTAAATACTAAAAAAAATAATTGATTATATCATCATAACATTATTTACAGTAAATATTAATGTAATATATGTAATAAAGCAATAAAAAAAATAATTATTTTTATATTTAAACATAAAACAAAATAGTTTATTTACTATTAACGCAAAATATGCCTTTAAATAATAAAAGATATTAAATAAATATTACAATATATATGTAGATTTCGAATCCACAAGGAAAAAAAGTTTCCTAATAAATTTCCACCAATTTTCAAGAAAAAAATGAAAATATTTTATTTTTTAGCCGCTATAAAGCTATTTTATACTAGTATATAGGTTCCTATATATATTCCTAAATTAATTATTTATTATTTTTGACAGTTTTATACAAAACTTGATTTTTTCTAAACTTTTGTGCCCCCTTATATCCCCCCTGAGATTGAAAACCTCTAGCAACCCTGGTTTTAATAGTATATAAAAGTAGTAGTAGTAGTAGTAATAAAAATAATATTACATATTATTATTATTAAAATAATACAGTAATGTCTTGATATTAATGACTTTGATGTCACAAACAGTTTTATAAATACTATTTTTTCTGCTTAAGATTTTTGTAACTAAAGTAATATATAAAACAACAATTTACCCAAAATATTGTAATTTATTATTATTTATTGATTAACTTCACACCAAAAATAATGATTGTTTTCAGAAAATGTGAGACCTATTAAATAAATGATAACTTTTTAGCAAAGCTATAATCATTTGTCTCATAACAATAATATCAATAAAACCGATTAAACAAATAATTTAATGGTATTTTAATCTAAAACTTTCAGTTACATGTTATTACAAATGATATTATTTGCAATCAATTTATTTTCAACTGTCAAATGGTATATTAAATACATTTGTATTTGTAATTGATATACAATATGTATGTTATTAATATTGTTATTTAAGATCACGTAATAAACCCAAACTTAAGTATAGCAATCAATTATTTGAGTGACCACTTCATGTCAATAACCGACTGCCTTTTGAATGATAAACTTTTGGTACAATAAGTTTTGGCAAAATTCTTAAAATTATATTTAGTTTCAATAGACTGACAATTTATGACAAACCGGTAATTATTTCGTTATTTTTTATTTAAAAAATAGTTTCAAGTATTCAAATCAATGTAAGTAATAACAGTAAGTTATATTTGCTTTATTTGCATAAAATATATTTAATACTTTATTTATTTATTTTTATTTAGTATAGTTAATTCATGGTTTTTTTTATATAATATACTGTAGACTCTATATATAATAGTAGAATATTTTTTATTTAAATACTAAATTGTAAAAAAATATATATTGCTGTAAAGGATTTGGTGTTGAGTTTAAGTGACGGCACAGACATTAAGTGGGCGAACCCATCGTAGGCATCGTCTACTGGTATTATAGTTAAGATTATCAGTGATGTGTCAAATGTTTGCATTAAAACTGATTAACAGGTTTTATGGATTGTCTTCTTTAGCTATGAATTCATGTGTTTTTGTAGTCGAAGAGTATATGTGTTGTCATGTCTTTCACATAATTTACTGCTTTTCACTTTTCAATCAATTTAATTATTGATTTTATTTTTTGCAAACTTAATGCCTACTTAACTAAAAAAAATTGTAAAACAATTGATTTATTGATAATCTTACTATAATTGTATATAATTGCCATCATTTAAAAAATATTTATTATATTATATGTATAGTGTAAGTATACTGTAAGTTACATTAATAATTTTAGTGTATATTTATTAACTAATTAAATTAAATAATCAAATTTAAATATACATTAGTTATAAAATAAACTTATAAATGCATTATGAATTTTTAGCAAAACTCAATACTCAATGCATTTATTATAACTACTAGATGTACAGTACTATAAAAATGGCTATTTTAGAAATGGTAATAAAACTGTACTTAAATATCACTTAGTATTGAATCCCACCGACACTTATAGCAAAATAATTTCTATACTATCGACCAAATTCTTGTGCATAAAACTAACCTCTTGTTGATCAATGTTTTCAAACAAATCATTCAGTTTATAAGTAAACTTTATTAAGAGTTTGTCACTATTAGCAAAATCTATGATTTATTTAAGTGTTTTTAAAATATATCTTTAAATTTCTTTTTTATTGAATTTCAATGCCTTTTCATTTAATGGTTTTAAAAACTTTTATCAGGTATTACAGTATATAACAGCAAAATATAATTAATTAAATTTTTAATACTTTTTGCCAAATGTTGTGTTTGATATATTGTATGTATCATAACGTATGATTCATAACTTATTATTTTATTATATTATATTCAGACCTCAAATTGGAAATTAAATTACTTTAAGTGAAGCATCCATTAGTGTTGAATACTGTAAATGATAATAATTATCGATTTTTTTGGTTCAAAACTTTTATTTTTCTGCTAATATAATATTCACGCGAAAGCCTTTTTGATTTAAGTACTTAATTATAATTTGTGTGAAACTTATTAATTATTATCAGCTATTATTTATAAATGCAAAAAATATTGTATTCATTAGAATATATTTAATCTTACAATAAAAATGTTATACGATATGAGAGAAAATATATATATTTAGGTTTTCATAATTGAAAAGTCGGTCTTGAAGTGCGTGATCTCTTCTCCACCTCTTTATTGATCCAACAGTTTTATGGAAAGCTATACTAACCCAACACTTCATTCTCTGTGAGCTCAAAGAGATCCATAAGCCATAGGAATAGACATTTGGCGAATAACTTTTCACGTGCTCTCAGATTATAACATTTTATTTATATTTTGTTTGTCCTCTAAGTTTATATACCATTTATTCACAAACTTATACACTGTTTTTATGTGCTTAACAGCTAATAAGGTTGACTCAAACAACAAATAAATTATAAATAAAAATACAAACTAAAAGAACAGTTAAAACCAACAAAAATAAAATTGAAATTCAGTTATCTTTTCTCAAAAAGATTTTTATTATAAGAAAAACAAGAAATTATTAAATCTTATAAAATCATGAATTCCAGTGCACTGTCAGCTCAGTGTCAGCCCAGTTGTATGAAGTCTTCAAACACCGATCGCATCCATGAATCAAGAAATAGGAACCGAACTCAACATCAGCACCAAAATGCCTGGTCTTATATCTCGAGCAGAATTGTTGGTATCATTCAAAAGACTTTTAAAAAAGGTATTATTTATTATATAGTTATCATATGTTTTATGGTATTTATGGTATAGATATTCATACAGTCTTATGTTGAATATCTCTTTATTTAAATATTATAAATTATTCACAAACATATCTATATATCATTTATATATAATGTCATTTCCATTAGAGTCGATTCAAAAGCCTATCTTAAAAACCGGAACCGTAAACAGTATTTATGGTTTCGGTTTTAAAATTTATATTTTTTGTTTTAGTTTCTAAGTCTTCGTTCGAATATTAAGTGAATTCTAAATTTTGATATCATTTAAGTGATAATCATATCGCAGACCAACAAATTTGCTTTAGATTTTGATAATTATATATATTATTGAAAATTAAAAATATAATTTATAAGTATTTTAAGTTATATAATTTGTTAATGTTTTTTTTTAAATAAAAAAATTATAATTTTTAATATGGATTGGTTTAATTTTAATTTTCGGTTTAGGTTTGATGCATGAAAAAAAATCTTGTATTTAAACCTTTATAATATACTATAATAAACATGAAAAATATATTTTTAATATTTAACATTATGACAAATATTATGTTTAGTTGAAACTCTAGAGATATAATCAAAAAATAAATATTCATTTTGTGTCAACATTTGTTATAAATATTGTATAATAATTTTTATATAAAAATAATATATTTATTTCTGAGATAAAACTTTATATATAATATATGTATATTTATATTAATAAAAGATTATTTATTTAAGTTTATATGTAAATATAAAACAATAATTCATATCACTTGTAGTTAACTAAATTAAATAATCATTATAAATAGCTGGAAATGTTATTTTTTTAGATAATTAAAAAAATGATACATAACATCTAGGTTTGAATCAATATAAAACCATAATTAATATAAACTTTGAACGATTGGTGTTATCAATAAAAAACTATATTTTTGAAGACATCAGACAATATCTCTGGTATCCGACTCTTTACTTCTGAGTTATTGTAATAACTGACTTACAAAACGTTTGTGTGATTTCGAGTTGTCGTGTCATGTAATAGGTGTCCAAATGTATATTTTTTCGGTATATTTAGTGATCAACACATTTGTACCACAATTTCAAATATATTACACTTTCAATTGTAATACACTTTATATAAAAGTCATTAAATGCAAATCTAAGATTAAGGTCATAATAATTTTTAGTGCAAATAACACAATATTGTTAAAGTAATGATACAATTTTATTGTTACTAAATTAATAAATCTATTTATTATAAACACAGCAATTGAAACACATTGATAAAAACGTTGAAAACTTGAGAGACTTTTAGTTTCATTTTTGTAATTTATTTCATATTCATACTAAATATTATATGATATAAGCTTTCAATGATTACAATCAAATTTCGTAAGTAATTCATAAAAATAGTTAATTTGTTTGCGTTTAGCTTTTTGTTTCATTAGTCAGTAATGCACTGAAATATCTTTTTATTATTTGTTTGGTTTAGGAAAACAACAAAAACAAAAAGTTTAATAAAAATAAAGAAAAACTATAATAAATAATTGATTTACTTATTGATTGAGTGATCACTATATCACGTATATAACATATTAAATATACTATATATATATATATTTATATACATAATTATTTGTCTGTTGTATTATAAGTGCTCTTTTACTTGAAGTGTATTTTTAAATATAATACACCATTTGTAATGTTTTTTTTGGTAAAAATAACATAATAAATTTAGTTTAATAATTTTATTATATTTTAAAAATAAAATAATAATAAACATAATATGATAAATAAATTAACATTTAATTTTTGATAAAGTGTTTAGTTATTAATTTACCATAACATCTAAAATCTAATATGATTTACATTATAAATACTAAATTATGTATGTGCATAAATTAAAATTTTTAGCAAAATCAAAACTGATTAAATAAAAATACAAGAATATTTGAATTTATTTACAAAATGGAGTTAATTATCTGAAAAATGTAAAATACATTAAATTAAGTAATTATGTAAATAGAGTTGCCAATTCAAAAATATTATTTTCGGAATTTTTTCTGCTATTTTATCAATAATTTAAGATAAATAAAATATTAAATAAATATAAGTATAATAAAATTCTAAGAAATTGAGTTTTTATTTTTATACATTATCTATACCAGGCGATATCACGATTATTATACGGTCCCTTACTTAAAAACATAATTACTGACCAAGATAAAAAACAAAAAAAATATAATACACAAATTTAATAACCTTTTTTATATAATATTAAATAAAATATACCACTTAATTAAAATTAATATGTAACAGTGTATTTGAGCTAGATGAAATATATTATAATAAACCATAAGCTTCGACAGTGCATTTTAATCAAAAGTAATCAGAAATCACTATACTGATCACCAGTGATCTATACATTATATATTGTTGTAAAAATGTATTTAAGAAAAAAATTAAATAATAGATAACTTTTGAAAAGAGTACCCAAAAAGGACGTCTGACAAGAATATTGTCATTTATGACATTTTTAAAAATTTTCAAACATTATAAACAATAATTATTTATTTGATTTGTAATGTATAACTTATTATAGTTAAACTAGTAATTGATAAATTTGAGTTAATATTATATATAGCATTATAATTATTATTAATTAAAATTATTTGTAATATTTTTATTTTTACAAATTAAATAAATACATTGATTTTTTCATAAATTATTTAATACTATATATTCAGGGTTGCTAAAGATTTTCGTTCTCAGGGGGTATATGGGGGTGAATGGCAAAAATCTCAAAAAGCTAGTAATGGTATAACTTAAGAACAATTTTAATTTAATTTCTAATAAATTCCTTATAAATTTCCTGAATAAAAGATAATATTCCCAACTTAATTCCTTAATGTTCTCAAAATATTTTATTCTACTATTTTTTACTAAAGTTTAGAAAATAATATATAGTTTTGCATTGAAATATATATAACACTAAAAACTACAATAATTACTTATGAATATTTAGTATTGAAAAAATTACAATATTGTTATTTTAAAAATTAATATTGTACTGTATTTATTATTACGTCTTAAAAAATAAAATAGTAAAATAAATAATAAAACTAATAAAATTATATAAAATAAATATTAATCATAATTCTGGAAAATTGAATGGAATTTATTAGGGAACTTTTCTCACTTTTGAGTGCCCGAACTCTATGTGTAATATTTATTTAATATCTTGATTATTAATATTTTTAAACATATTTTGCGTTAATTAGATTATAAATTTTAAAAAAATTAATTGTTTTATTACATATATAACATCATTATTTACTGTAAATAATATTATATTAATTTAATTAATTATTTTTCAGTATTTAACTAGTTTCTATTTATTTATTTTTTATACATAAGCTATTTATTTTTATTAAAACTTACTTTACATTAATTTTTTGCTGTTTAATATTAAATTTTTTATAGATGAAATTGGCCCAAAATTATAAGGGCCCCTAACTTTTAAGTTTTAGACCAGTGGGGGGTAAGACCCAAAATTTTCGATCTCTATAAACTCGGTCTGTAATCGGTAAGATGGCCTACCCCTCCCTACAAATTTAGCAACCCTGTATTAATTATATATATATATATATATATATATTCTAAAATACAGTAATTACTGTAGTATATTATGCAATTAAATCTTTATAATATAATATGCAATTTTCTGAAAAACACTGAAATACATTTGCTTTTGTAAACAATACTGTATGAGATATCGTTTATTAATTTTATTTTTAATAATCTAAGAAAATATAATATTTTTTTTTACATAAATGCATTGTATTGGAAATAAATAGTGATTTTGAAAAATAATATTTTTTTTGGTAGAAATCAACTCATTTGTTTGAATGACATGGCATTGAATAAAAATTTATATTTGCATAAAATCTTTTGTATAACTTTGCAAAGTGTAAGCAAACTCATTGTGTTTGTATTGTTTAATGAACTATATAACAGAATACTATAGTCATATACCGATATATATTTATATATAGTTTTAATAACACAAACATTATTTTCATATAATTTATATTTTTTTGTCAATTTGTTATACTTCAACAATTAACTTATTGTCCTTTAATATGATTATTTGACAGATAAGCCTATTAAATGATATAATTTAACGTATATTAATTGTTTTTAAAATTTTATAACTAATAATTTACGAGAAAATAATAAAAGTCATAATAAGTGTTTGTATTTCTCGTTAGTGAAGTCAACAAATGATAGCAATTCCGACAATTTCTTTCACTTCATATAATAAAAAATTAACGACAAATCCGTATATTTTTTGTCGATGAGGACTATCATCTGTTTTACTAATAATATCTAAACATAAATGCTTCAACTTTTTAAGTATTATTGTTCTTAATATTATTGAATAAACTTCAAGTATTGTATATATAAGAGGAGTCGGTTTATTTGCTTTGGTAGTCATATTATACTGTATGCATAGAGAGAGAGAGAGAGAGAGAGAGAGAGAGAGAGAGAGAGAGCTGACATAAGAAAAGGCGTTTTTTATTTGCTTTAATGACACAACAAATAATGTGAACTCAATTTCCTATAAAATATTATATAATATAAATATATTTTTTATACATAAAAAAGGGATTCCAATTGAATGAATAAATTATATACAAAATATAGTTTATATAACAAAAAATAGATATTTTAAAAGTACTTTTTCGTGTGTCAATTCCTATACATAAAGACGATTGTTTGACAAATATAAAAATTTAATTGAAAATCAAAGCGAAATAAATTCTATGCAATAATATATATTCAGACGAGCAATATAAGGCATACATCCTAGAGATAGACAAATAGAAATTTTCTAATAAATTTCCAAAAGAAAATTTCAAGAAAGTTACTCAGAAATAATCTTCTGTAGAAATTTTACTTTATCATTATAGTTTACTATGAGATCCCTATATCT